CTTCACAGATAAAAAAAGCTGAATTTCAGAGGTGAGGTGACTTGCTGTTGGGAAAGGATTTATAAAACCTTTTCTGCTTCTGTAAACGAATTTGACCTTGGGTTAACCTTCTAACTCTGTTCCCCTGGAAACCTGATAAAGACAGAAATTCACTGTTACTAAGCAACATTGTTCACAGCAAAAATGACCCTTGATTGTTAACCAACATCTGGACTAGGAAGAGTCATAAATAAATGATAAATATCTCTTGGAGTTGCCATCATTTGAGGTCTGGGATCTATAGAACTATTTCAAGAGACATGAGCTTCTGTAGGGTTTGTGGCTTTAAAGCTAGAACAATTTCTTTCCTTTTCTTTTTAGCCAGTTGTGGGGCTTGACCCAGGGTCTGGGCACTGTACCTGAACTGCTTTTGCTCAAGGCTAGCACTCTACCACTTGAGCCACAGCACCACTTCTGCCTTTTTCTGTTTATGTGGTACTGAGGAATCAAAACCAGGGCTTCATGCATGCTAGGCAAGCACATTACCACTAAGCCACATTCCCAGCCTCAAATCTCTTCTTTTGAAATGACTGTACTTCAGCCTAAGAGGCTGGCTGAACTTTTTAAGCACCCAGATTTTCCTGTTGAAGGCCCTGTGAGGTCTCTGATTTTGTAGCACCTAATCCATCCTGCTTGCCTAGCAAAGCAGGTAGTCTAACTGTACACTGAGTTTCCTTTCCAGACAATCTCCTGGAAAATTCTTTAAATTTTCTTGATGATGCCTTCCTGGTTGACATCTCTAATCTAGTTTTCTAAGCTCTTTGACAATAATGGATTCTTGCCACAGGATTGTGGCAACTTCAGTTAGAGGTGATTATCACTTACCAAGAGCAGCAGGTACCTGTACTGTCTCCAGCCAGGGATCTCAACTCCAAATTGACCAAGGATGGCCCACTCCATCAAAGAGGCATACTGTAGATGTCTACTAGGCATGGGACCATCAAAGGAGTCAGTGAACCCAACAGATAAGCTTTTAGATTAACCCCTAGACCAGCACACTGGGATGACTCATTCCTTCTCAGCCCCCTCTCTTTTTGCTAAACAATGATTTGGGAATGGAAACCAATGTAAGTGATATCATTTCTCCAGCATCCTCCCTGACTCTTCCTGGTTGTGTCATCTTTTTTTTTTTTCATTAAAATTTAGAGTGCTTCTCTGTTATCAAATGCATGTGCCCCTGGGAAGCAGCATCTGCATATTAGTCCTCTTGATAACTACAACCAGCCCAATGTACATGTGATACAAGTAACAATGAACACATGAAGGAAACAATGTGCAACAAGGTGCTCCAGTTATATTCCTTTCTGCATGATGTAGATCACTGAATTAATCCTATCTACTCAAACTTTATGTTAGAATTTCAGTCAATGGTAGGATATGTATGACTGCTCCAATCACTAACTCTGAAAAATAACTTGTTTCGCCAACTCAAGTGATATGTTTATTTGGTTGAAAGAAACTCTTCAACAACGGTTGCAGTGCTACCTAGAAGTGACAAAGAGTTAAAGGGAGTAAAACTCTTGTCTCCTGCCACATCTAGTTTTTTTTTTCTTCTCTCCATGACAGGTAGGACAAACAGAACATGAGAGTAATACAAAGACCGGAGAAGGAGAGCGCTAGAGCGCATGGACAGTTTTCGTATTAGACAACCCAGTAGACAAAGCAAACTGAAGAAAATTTTTCATACTTTATAGCAGTTCAATGATGGAGAACCTGAGACTTACAGAGGGGAAACTAAGGCTATAAAAGTACTATGAGATGGGCTGGGAAGGTGGCTCAGTGGTAGAGCGCTTGCCTTGCATGCCTGAGGCCCTGGGTTCGATTCCTCAGCACCACATAAGCAAAAAAAGAAAAAAGCCAGAAGTGGCGCTGTGGCTCAAGTGGTAGAGCACTAGCCTTGAGCTGAAGAGCTGAGGGACAGCACCCAGGCCCAGAGTTCAGGCCCCACAACCGGACCCCCCCCCCAAAAAAAAGTACTATGAGAGCAGAGAATTTGATCTTAAACCAAAGGGCTATTTTTTTTGAATCATACTAACGCCAAATAGTTTTTATTATTTTAGCTTCTTAAAATAGTTTGCCTTATCTTTTACTTATGAGTATTTTGGTTAAAGAGTGTAATAAGACATAATGACTTGTACATCTCATTGTTGCAATGGGACCACCCGTATCCCTATTTAAATGATTTGTTTTTTCCCTTCCCCTCCACAAATTATAACAACATCAAATACAGTGAAAGCAGGAGTTATACCATGGGGGAGGGACATACAAAGCAACAAAGAAATAATCTTATAAATATGTTAGAAACAATCACATGAAAGAAAAAAAACATTTGAATACATATCTTAGGGTTCATTTCCCTAACATCAACTTATCTGACCTTTTCTGCTTGACTCAGGTTATTGCAAATAAGGCTTGATAAGAAATGTTCTCATTATCTTGCCCATGTAATTGTAACCCCTCTGTACAGTATTTTCACAAAAAAAAATAAAAAAGAGTGTAATAGGATGTCATCAGGTATAAAGGGAAACTAGTCTTCTCTCCATAGTTTGATGGGAATATCATTCGGTTAACCAAGGGTGGTGAATATCTGGCCTTTGGGCTGAATAAGACCTTTAAAGTCATTTGGGACATAACAGGACAGACACATATGCTTCTCATTGGCTACCTGCTGTTCTCTGCCTGTATTGATAATTTTGTGTGGCCTGCAAATTATATATTATAATATGGACTCTTAGAAGAAAAAAAAGGTTCCTTACCTCTGAAACCCTCTGGGGAGCAATATTTGGAAGTATTGGGAAAAAAATCTGTAAAATATGTCTTTGGTTTAAGGAAACTGCCAATCACAGTCTTATGTCACAGAATGTGAAGACCAGGTAAAATACAAAATCAGAGCTGGGCACTTCACACATAGGTGTGAATCCTAGCTACTCAGGAGGCTGAGATCTGAAGATCACAGTTCAAAACCAGCCTGAGCAGAAAAGTCCCCATGAGACTCTTCATTAGCCACTCAAAGACTGGAAGTGGTGCTGTGGTTCAAAGTAGTACAGGGGCAACCTTAAGCACAAAGAGGCTCAGGGACAGTGCTCAGGCCATGAGTTCAAGCCCCACAACTGACCAAAAAAAACAAAAACAAAAACAAAAACCCAAACTAAAACAAAACAAAGTTTCTAGCAAATAAGGTAATTAAGTAAAGATATATGAATTTGCTTTCTTTCTGATAGTATAGGTGTTTACCACCATATCTGATTCTCCAGATGTTTTTATGGCAACCTCTCTTCATTTAACCAGTGGAAAAAGAGGAACTAGCCTACTAGGGAGAGCCCAGCATAATTTTACCTAACACCTTGCTAATTCTTGCACACACCATCAGCAGACCAGGCTCCAATCACTTGTTTTCCAATGAAAGCAAAACATTAACCCTAGTTCTGAGACCAATGAGCGTGGTTTAAATATAACTCTGCCTTTCTCTGTCTCTGATATGATGTTAGCAAGTTCTCAACCTTCCCTGGTTGTAGTTTGATCCTTTGTAAAAATGGTAACCTATAGTAGTTTCATTAAAAAAAATACCAACATCCCCTTACTACCACCTAGCTTTTACTTATGATGTGAAACAAAAAAACTTTCTGTATGTGTATGCATACTATCATATTATATTTATATGAATGCATTGTGAAAGCTTTGGAAGGTTACACATAGGATGGTTTATATTGGTACTTGTTAAGAAGCATATAAAAGAGAACTTTGATTTAATATACACTGTACTCTTTTACAAGCATATGTTATTTTTGTAATCTAAGTGCGGTTTTACAAAGAATACACTTGGGTACAGTAAAGGAAAGGAGATGAAGGAAAGAGAAAAAAAGGGGAGAAGTTAAAAAAAAAACAAACTTGCTTTTTGCTTAAGTCAGAAATCATAGGGGCTGGTTCACAAAGAGTCTTGATCAGTCCAGATATACTGGGTATGACTCTGCTAATTGCAGAGTTCCTAATGCCTTGGTTTGGAAACATGCCATATATATGTCAGCCCATAAACATTTTTTCCATATTTTGAAGGGAAAAATACATTAGCAACCCCTGGGGGAATCAGCTCTATTGATCCAAGTGATTCTAAGTTGGAGCAGGGATGAGAGTTCTGATCCCGTGCTTCACAGGAAGCCCACTCAAACTTGTGAAGCACTTTAGGGACTGAGGAACAGCTTGCTTAGGGAAATACAGGACATCCAGGGTAAGTCCCAGGAAGCTTCCACATGGCCAAGATAGGACATGCTTCCAAGAGACCTGGCTATATTCCCTATAAAAGTCCATACTCCTCTGCCAGGCAGGAAGGAAAGTGGGATTTACCTCTTACTGAAGATTCTTTTAATCTGCCTCAGTACTCCAGTATCTCCAGACATTGGCTTATACAAGCAGAGGCTTATTTTACTACCTTCTATCCAAAGAGCGACTCACCTTTTTTTCTCCATCCTAAAAGCTAAGTACTATGGACAGTAAAAATATCATACCCTTTTATGGCAAAAGTTGCATTGTCACAACCTCAAGAGCAATGCTGTCTGCTCCTTATATGTAGCTAAGATCTTCACTTAGCCAACCCACATTCCTAACTTTTTCTAAGGGTGAAAACTCCCTTATTCCTAAGTCCTTTCATATTATTTCTGATGGGTAAAAGCTTATCATCTCAAAAAGCTCACATTTCTGGAAAAGTTCCTAATGGACAGTGCATAATCTAAGAAAATTGATTTTTCAGTTTCCAAATGCCATATTGCTTCCTATCTGCAGCCAGGTGTTTTATGGGTCTCCACCAAACAAACACAGTTATTCTTGCTGGCAGCTATGACTATATCAGTATCTTCTCCAATTTATTAACTGCCAGTCAAACACATCCTCTGAGTCATTCTCATCCTCCTATTTATAACCTTGACCCTCACCTCAACCCAACTCACCCCGAAAAGAAGTCAACTCACCTTTTTCATGGCTAGTGGTTGGTGGAGGTGGTGAGGTGATCGGCTTGGACTTGTCATAGTTGTTAAAGCTCTGGCTGCGCCGGTTGTTAGCAGTGGATGGCCCTCCACGTGTTTTGGCCTCGCTGCCTGCAGCAGATACCCGTGTGGTAGGACCTGGAAGTCTAAAATGCAAAAACCATATCATCTTTAATTCTATCAAGCATCGAACACAAAGAAGGACTATCTCTAAACCATTTACTCTGAGGCAAATGGAGAGTATTGAAAACAGTGTTTGCTATAAATCCAGGAATACAGGCATTAAGAAAAGGACACAACTTACAAATAGTAGAAAGAATTGCTACCACTCCCAACACATCTGCAATGAGAATTTAAAGTGTGGTTGCAAACACTTGTCCAGACATACATTTTCCTTCAACATCTGACAACCTGTTTCTGTGGCATTCTTTTCAGATTGAAGTATAGTTTTTCTACACAGTTAATGAATAAAATCATTAATTCTTTTATAAAACATCAAGATTTGGTTAGCCTAAGGACAAACACACTCTTTCCCTTTAAATAAAACACCTCGTTCTGGGTGGTTTTGAGAATAAAGTCACCAGACTTCTTTGTAATAAGCCTAAAGATATTATGGATGATTCTCTGAAGAGTTTAGGAGTTAAGACTTTTTCAACCAGAATTTTGGTGTAGGAACTTACTAAGCAGACTTTTTCCAATAATTAAAACTGAAAGATGAATAAATGATGAAATTTTTAGTTATATCCTCCAGCTAAAACACACTGAGCTATGTTTAAGAGCAACTGGAACCTCAGCCAACCAGCATTAGACCCTGTGATAAGTCTGAATTTTCAACTCATAAAGCTTTCAGCTGGCTCTTTCCATGCAAGTCTGTGAGCACCAAAGAATCCTACAGTCTGGAAGCATTTTAGATATAAGCAGGCAATCGCTTTAAACCTTTTCTTGTTGGCTGAGCAAGAAAGATGGTTGCAGAATAAACAGAGAACATGAGCTGGTGTGAAGGGACTATAAAATTTATCCAGTTAAGAAGCAGCTGGCCTGATTCCCTGATGGGGAGCGGAGAGTGATGAGGCTGGGGAGTTCTCCCCCTAGAGAGTGGCATCACTTCCCACGTTACTAGGAGGGTTCATCCCTCTGTTAATTCCTTTCATCTTGTTTGGAGAGATTATTCATCTCACAGAAGACATGATCAGTTTTGAAAATATCAGCAGTGTCAGTGTATATGTTTGGGGCCCAGATGTGGCTAGCACAGTTGGCCAAGGAGGTCTGGCAATGGGCTCTTTGTACCTCCTGGCTTTACTTCCAGTGCAAACAGTGTCCTGGGAGTCCTTCACATCAGAATTATCTGAATACTCAACATTCAATGGGAGAAGTTCTTCTTTTTATTTTTATTTTGCCAGTCTTGAGGCTTGAACTCGGGGCCTGGGCCTGAGTTGCTCAAGGGGAGCACTCTACCTGTTGAGCCATAGTGCCACTTTCGGCTTTTTCTGTTTATGTGGTATTGAGGAATCGAACCTGGGGTTTCATGCATGGTAGGCAAGCACTCTATCACTAACCCACATTCCCAGCCCTGTAGGTGGGAGAGCTTCTGTAGGTGCAGGTGCGGGGCTTTTTGAACTGGATATATTTAATGCAACTATGGTCTGCAGGAGTCTTTGTGCCTACAGATTGGCCTGGAAAATGATTTTGGATTTGGTCCTGGACAACATTACAGCAATGGTATTAAGTAATATGGAATAACTAAGGTCATATCATTCTGCTTCCATGGGAGAATTTGCAAAGAGCAAGAAAACAAAATGTAACAAGGAAGAAAAAGTGCATTCCTTTCAGAGTTGCTGGAAAGTTCCCATTGTGCTCACCCTAAACTGGACCACATTAGATTTTTAGGATAGCACAGGGATTTCTATAAAGGCGGGTAATCCAAGCACAGGATGGGAAAGATAAAATCCTGAAACAGGTAGGCAGCCTGGTCCTCTGTGAGGTGGTATAGTATGAAGGATAGAATATAGACTTTTTCACTCATAAAACTTTGGATCAGTCTCATACCATCTCTGAGATTCATGTTCCTTACCCATAACTCTTGAATAACAATAAACTATTGGTGGTATAGCTTGACGTTTGAAATGGGACTTAATATCTGGCTTATTGTAAAAGCACTCACAGCATGTAATTTCACTATCCCATCCTTTCTGCTGAGCAAATTCATAGATAATATTGAACATATGCTACAGTACAAGAAAGAATTAAAGAAGGAAATAGATGAGTCTAGTTAAAACATCAGAAGAGATAGACAAAAATCAATATCCAAGATCAACATTTGCAGAGGTTAGACAGACTTTGTCAAGCAAGGCTCTTCTTTAGCTAAAGAATAATCCATAGGAAAAATTGCTTTAAATGTGTGCCTGACACAGACTTAGATTTTTTGGGTTGTTTGTGGACCTCACTCTCTGGAGTGAAATATTCCTGGATGAGACAATTCTGTTTTCTATGGGTGGTCATGGTTATAATCAGTGACCTAAGTATTTTTTTGATGAGAGTGGCATGCCCTTCACATAACTGCAGATGAGTGCTGTGTCTTCTAGGACACAAATAAGAAGAGGGCCTTAAATACAACTGGTAAACAGAAAATAGTTGGCACATAGCCATCAAATGCCATTACATGTGATCTATCACCATCACCATTAGACATAATTGAGGATGGCTATCTTAACTTGACTAAATCAGAAAACTTAGGTGAAAATAAGTCTCTTCAAACTTTTAGAGAGCTTTGGTGCTGATGGTATAGTGTTTAAAACTTGAGTTCTGTTGAGAATGGGCTTGAACTATTCCTTGTCCTAAAGTTAAGCTTTCTCCATCCATCTGAAATTTTTAGCAAAAGCTACCTCACATAAAAATGAATAAATATATGGTAGGTGGGAAACAAGAACTCACTTGTGAGGGAAACAAAATGCCTGTAGACACAGTGAGTCAATTCACAAATTGAATTTTAAGTACAAGATTTCAAAAGCAGGATTTCAAAGTCAGAGGAAACCATGAAAACCTAAAATGCTTGAGCAATGAAGAGTTTTCTACATGCTAAAAAGTAGGACTAGAGCTATATGACCTGTCTTATCTAGATCTGAAGGGGCTGGTTCCCTAGCTGACATCAAGATGATTTGTTCATTGACAAAATATGCAAAGTTCAGAAGTCTTTCAGAGAAGGAAAGTGATGACCTTCGACTTTGAAGTTTGGTAGACAAGGAATGTCCAAACAAGAGACTTTGGAACAAAATTTGTCATATCAAATGGGAATCCAAGAAGAGGACAAGAAAGCAGAGGCAAAAAGCCTATGGAAAGCACAGGGGAAAGAGTTGGTATGTGTTGGCACTTGACAGACAGAGAACAGAGGGAATTAGCCTGGAGAAACAAGCAGGGTCAGGGAAGGGAAAACCTTGTAGACCATGTTTATAAAGCTTTGACTTTGTCCTACCCTCCAGGATGAAGCACTAATTAAAGATACTGAAACCAAGGCTTGAGTTAAAAACAGAGTATCTTCTAGTCTACCAGTGATATAGACCTCCAGCCTCTGGCTAGACATTTTGAAGTTGATTAATGTGAACATCTTTCATGTATTTTACCAACCGTTGCCTGGAAGTACATGCTGTTGGTAGCATCAGAACTGACTTTCTGAGGAGCTGAGTCTGGCTCACAGGACAGGGGTGGATACTATCCTCTATGTCAGCTTCAATGAAGCAGAGAAAGGAGAGGGTAGCTGGGGTAGGTCAGCCCTGTGCTGTTTCCAGCACCAAAAGATCCTAACAGTTCCTCTCAAAGAGGAATTTCACCTCTCACAATCATTCCTTGTCCAAAGGAACTTAAAATGACGGAGGGCACAGATAGGCTCTCCAAAACATACATGTTGCCTTTGCTTTAAAATGAGTGTAAGGGAAGTGTTGCAAGAAAAAGGCAGGCAAATCAGGGCTATTGTCAATTTCTTCAGCTTACATAGAGCTGAAAATGCAAGGAAGTAAGACTATCATTCCTGGCACATAATCTAGGAGTGCATCCCCCACACCAGGACTCCACCCGCTGTACGTGCTGATGGGAAGAAAGCAGCTCTTCCCCCCAAAAACCACTTCAAAGGCTGGGAGCAGATGGGTACCCCTCCCAGGAAGAATGGCAGCTTGTGTGCACATGCTAGGGAGGGGAAGGGGGTCCGTAACCAGTGATGCTTTTTGCCAGACAAGATGATTAAATGCTAACTTTCTCATTTCCATAGCATCTGCTTTTCAGCAGCTAGTCAGAAAGGGCTGATTACTGACTCCATTGATCCCATTCCACAAGACAGTCATGTAGGGACCAACTCTGTGAGACATGCTAAAGGCAGCCTGGTGGCCTTACCTAGCCCAAATCAACCCAACGTATGTCTATGCTTTAGGGTGCACTGATTATACACCAGCCACTATGGCACTAGCGTGACATAATTTAATCCTTATGACACTGTGAATAAAACAGAACTACTTTGTTTTAATCAGGACATACAGGCTTATAGAGATTAAATCATTTCCCCAGGTAATAGTCAGTACATAGGGACTGCACCTCTCAGACACTATGTTTTTCTGCTTCCTGCAGGCAGAATAAACTAAATACCTTAGGCTTACCAGGTATGCCTGAGGGCAGACAGTCAAAGGTAGAAATCCTTGGGGATCCCTTAGCCCTGAACCAAATCCTCCATGGGTCTAATATCCACATTTAAGGGTGAGGCTTCTACTCTGCTCAACATCCTTGGTGCTCATTGAGGTGTTTGGCTCTGGCAAGTGTTCAATCAGGATTTGCACTCCAACAAGAGACATGCTTCCAGAATACTGGGGAAAGTAGCCTACCTAACCAACAGGGTAAGGCTATCTCTTTTGGCAACTAATCTTATTTCTATACTTAGTGGTGCTTACTCAGCCTAAATTCTTATCAGGATCTTTGCTCAAGGCTGGTAGTGGGGGAGAGAGTGGCTAAGAAGTATTAGGTAAATAATGAAACAAAGGACATCCATTTATTGGCTCAGCAGAGACTAAATGTACCCCTAAAGAAATTCTAGATGAGGATAATAACTCTAAAAGAAGCCAGACTTTGGCTTTTGGTGAAGCTGGAAGTTCTATGCTCAGCAGAGCCTCAGGGTGGTATAGATACACCTCGTTTTCCAGCTCTTTCTCTCTTCCTGCTGCCTCCCAAGTACATTCTATCATCTGGGACTGATAACAAATCATGCATGGGATGGTCATGTGCTTCCAATTAGACAGTTTCCCAGCTAACTCCTGTTTTCTTTATCTTCCAGGACTGAGCACATTGTGGGAACAGACCTTAGATTGTAGGTTTCCTCCAAAACCTAACCCTCCCCTTCCCTTTCCTATATGTGTACATTTGCACAATGTGCAAATTTACAGGGAAGAGCTTTGAATCGGTGGTTTCTGCTCTGATTTAGGCCTTCTGTGACTATCAGGCAATCTTGGACCTGGCTTCTAGGAGCAATAACAAATTTAGGTTCTTCCTATCCCTGGGTACCAAGTATCATGTTGATGTTCTACAGAGAGGCACACTGCAGTGCAGTTGCTCCCTTACTGGCTAGATAGATCCTAGGTTAAGTCTTTGCATGTGTGAGCTTTCCAGAAAAGTAAACTCTTACTAGTAAAAACAGTAGAGACTAGCAGAGTCAGGCAGCTTGTACATAAGTGAGATCAGGAAGGATGCGCTTCCTTTTACTTTTAAATGATAATTCAATAAGAAATAAACAGGCACTAATCAGAACAAGAAGAAGTTCTACCTCAGCAGCAATTTCTTCTAGAATGGCACAGGGACAATGTAAAGGAAAAAATCAAGAGTAATGGTTGAAACAGAAGGTTTGAAAAAGTGGATTCAATAACTACATAAATGCCAGAGTACAAAAGAAAGAAGGAGGAGGTAGTATAGCCAAGTGTTAAATGGAAGGTTCTAGGGTTCAGTCATTTGGGTTCTAATCCTGACTCTTCTATATTCTATGTGATCTTGGACAAATTACCTAACTTCCTGAATTTTAATTTCCTCATCTGTAAAATGGGGATAACACCATGATATAGCTCATGAGGACTGATGTAAGGATTAAATAAGGTAATACATTCAACTTGGTGCTTTCAGTAGAGTTAGCTGTTTAGACCTTTGAAATAATAGTAGATGTAAGTGGCTTTTCCTGGACCCTAGAATGCATCCTAGGATTCAGGGCATTCTGGGATTCAGAGATGTAGTAGGTAAGTGGATATATAAATCAAGAGAGCTAGTTAGTGAGCAGTCTAGTTAAACATTGTTTTAATTTTACTTTCGGGGAACTAAGGTAATTTCTCTACAGAATGCAGGAATGTCCAGAAACCAAATGAGACATACTTGCCCTGTTGTTTTGTATATCCGCTTCAAATCTTTATAACCCAGAATAAAACCCAAACCTACATTAGTAATTTTAATGACAATCACAACAACAGAAAGCTCAGCACACGTAAACGAGATGTAGGTGAGGTTAAGTTAGGGCCAGGATGAAGCAAGGGAGCACACTCATCATAAAGTCACACAAAAATAAATAAAAACCCTTAGAAACTCATCTCTCTAAATATGAATAGATCATTGTTGCAAAGCAGTTAGAGGCAAAAATCAATTAGATGAGAAATATCATGCATACAGAAATCTCTCTCTCTCTCTCTTTCTCTCTCTCTCTGTCCATTCTCACAGTCACAATAAAATCTCCCCATCACTGGATCATCAGCCAAAGCATGTTTGTTTTTTAGAAACTGCAAACATGGAATGAGGAGAGGAATCAAAAGGAAACAGCCAGAGCAGAGGAACACAGGGGCAATGGGTTGGGTTTAAACCATGCTTTGCGGGACACAGAGAAACTCTAACCTAGAGATCTTTTTCTGACCCAGAGTGAATCGGATGATTTTGCTTTGAGATGAATCCTTGGATGACGCACTGCATGATGGGAAAGAAAAAAAGTGGAACAGATGAGTGAGGAGAGAGAAGATATATTAGACACACAAATATGTAATAAGAGCAAATGTCATGGCGAGCAAATGTTCCTGGTATTTCCCTCTGTTCACTTTTCCCTTCTAGATGTATATTTCTTTCTAGGTTTACCTTACTAGTTCATATATTTACAATGAAAAGAAACTGCAATCTAAATTACCTAAGAATTTTAATCCCCTCTCCTCCTTAAACACTAAATATCTTTTGTGCCTCTAGCCAGCATAGAACTTTTTTTTTTAAGTACTGAGATGTTTAAGACATAGAGTTGTATTTCCTATCTGTCTAAAGTATTAGATATAGTGTTTCCATTTCATAGATTTGTTCTACCAGGGTGCTAAAAGTGATAAGGCTAATTCTAAGCAAGGACATAGATATTTGCAATGTATTCCTAGTCTTGGGAATTTGTTCCTCCTGATGCTATAGAAATAACCACTTGAAGTCCATTGAGAGATGGGGCATGTTGTTCACACGTGTGATCACAGGTGGAAGGAGGGTGCGGGAGGATCCTGATATGAGGCCAGTGAAAACAAAAGCATGAGACTCTATCTGAAAAGTAAGCTACAGAAGAAAAGTGTGTGGGGCATGCCTCACATGATAGAGTACTTATCTAGCAAGCATGAGGCCCTGAGTTCAGACCTAAGTGTCATCAAAATTAATTAATAAGGGCTGGGAAGATGGCTCAGTGGTAGAGTGATTGCCTCACATGCATGAGGCCCTGGGTTCGATTCCTCAGCACCATATAAGCAGAAAAAGCTGGAAGTGGCGCTGTGGCTCAAGTGGTAGAGCACTAGCCTTGAGCTGAAGAGCTGAGGGACAGCAGCCAGGTCCAGCGTTCAAGCCCCATGACCCACCAAAACAAAAAATAAGTAATAAAGTCTATTGAAAATTCTGGGCGTTTTTTTCTTTCATGACCATATATTGGAACAGATTAAAAATGTTTATTTGGACCAAACAAAAGAACAAGATATGCTGTCTTGTAAAAAACATTTCTCACACACACACACTCGTGTGTGTGTGTGTGTGTGTGTGTGTGTGTGTGTGTGCGTGTGTGTGTGTGTGTGTAGTGCTGGGCCTCACATATGCTAAGTACTCTACCACTGAGCCACATCCCATCCAGAAATAGTTATCTTTCCTGTGTCCATTGTTCTTGTACCATGTTCATAAAAAGATCTGAAGAAACACAATGCTGGTTTCATTATTCTTGGGAAGTAAAGAGATGAGAACTAAATGAAAAAAAGCACAACTTTCTGAGTTTTTTCTATACTAAAATGTGCAAGGTAGACAAAGAGAGACAATGCTTCTCTTTTAGACCTAGACTGGTTAAGAATTTCATGGAATAAAATCATGTAAATTGTGCCACCATGTAAATTGTGAGAAGACCTAAAGTGAAGAGGCAGAATTAATCTCCTTAGTTGTCTTAGAGGGGTTGTTTATATGTTCATACCAATGTACCTGATTTCTTTTTTCTTTTTCTTTTTTTTCTTTCTTTTTTAGTGTGAAAATACCATACAAAGGGGTTACAATTACATGGGCAAGATAATGAGTACATTTCTTAATACCTGATTTCTTTTGTCCCTAATTTCTTTTTCACAACTCCTATTATTAGCAGACTTCAGGGAAAGTTGTCAGTTTTGATGTTTGCTATGAAAAGAAATATTGAACCCATATGATCTGAAAATAATATTTTGGTTCATTTGCATCTGGCAGAGTTATAGCAGAGAACAAAAACAACCTGGATTCTGATATTAATGGTCAAAGGCTCCATGCCATTACTGTTGGGGTTTTGGTTATCAGAAATAGACTTTGGGGCTAGAAACATAGTGGAACAGAGCCAGTCTTAAATTTACAGCTTGAGTGGGATATTATATCTCTAGTCCTCAAGAACAAGATTAGTTTTTGAAAGAAAAATTAGAAACTATTAGAAAACAATAGATTCAACCACCCATCTGCAGAAGTAACTGAGCCTGGAGAGTTAAACTTACTCCAAATTCCAGTTCCTTCCATCACTTTGTAGGGTGTTAAAGTCATGATGTCAGAGACTACTCTACTTGGGATAAAAGGATGGAAAACCTTGGCTTGAGTTACATGGCTGTTTTTTATGTAGAACATTTATTAAGAGTAGGAGTTTTTTTCTTATTGAGAGATGGATATTCTGATGGAAACATCTGGTTCTTTTAAGATGACAAACACCTGATATGGAAACAGCTCAGTGACATAGCCAGTGTTTCTCAACACATGTTCCTTGGAACACTGGACAGTGAGATGCTTTATGAAATATGAAAAGTATTGTAGCTAGTTTGTAGAATGCTAATATTTCTATCACATCTGTGATTACACATCTGTTCCTCTTTCGGGCTTCCCCTTCTTAATAAATAAAACCAACATTTGCTTAATTGCTTAAGCTAGAAATCTAGGTGTTATATGGGTTCCTCTTTTTCTCATTCTAGAGAGTGAATCTATTTGCAGGCCTCAAACTACAAAGTATCTTGCCTATGTCCATCTCCAACTCTGCTTTTACTGTCCTGGTCCCAACTATCCATGATCTGCACTGGAGTCCTTCCTTTCATCCTTTATTCAAAGAACTCAAAGAGAAGCAAAGGTGATTTTGTTTTCCTTGTGCTGGTCCTGGAGCCTGAGCACTTACCCTGGAGCCTTTTTGCTCAAAGCTAGCACTCTACTGCTTGAGCTACAGCTCTACTTCCTCCTTTTTAATATTTCTGGTGGTGGTTAATTGAAGATAAGAATCTCATGGACTTGGCTGCTAGGGCTGGTTCTGAACTGAGATCCTTCAGATGTCAGCCACCTGAGTAACTAGAATTGTATGCCTGAGCCACCGGCACCTGTACAAAGGTGATTTTTTTAAGAAAGTCACTTGTCTTCTACATTAGGTCCTCCCATGGCTTGCTGGTATCGCTGGAATAGAGTCTAAACTCTGTTTGCTCTTTAGACATCACTCTGTGATGTGGCCTCAGTGCCTCCATAACACCTGGCTATATTCCATGGCCACAATAGCAACCCTTTTGCATCTAAGCTATGTTTTCACTTCTCCCTGCTTTTACTTTTCAACATGTCAAGTGCTCTCTTATCACGGGGCCTCTGTATCAGCTCCCCCCTCTGCTGTATCCTATGATTGAGTTTTGCATTATTATTTATTTTCATGTTTCTCCACTTATGTGTCATATCCTGAGAGAAAGCTTCCTTTCAACTCAACCAAGAACAGTGGCCCAGTACCTCTGAATTCCATCTTCTTCTTTTTTTTTTTTGGGTCCGGTCATATGGGGCCTGAACTCTGGGCCTGGGCACTGTCCCTCAGCTCTTCAGCTCAAGGCTAGCGCTCTACCACTTGAGCCACAGCGCCACTTCCGGCTTTTTTCTTTTTGCTTATGTGGTGCTGAGGAATTGAACCCAGGGCCTCTGGCATGCAAGGCAAGCGCTCTACCACTGAGCCACCTTCCCAGCCCCTCCATCTTCTTATTATGGCACTCATCTCTGTTTTTTCTCTCTCTGTTCTCTCTCCTTCTCTCTCTCATCTCACTCTTTCCCCTCACCATTTCTATGGTTTGAACTCAGGGTTTCTTGCTTGCTTGGCCACTTGCTCAGCTGGCACTCTACCACTTGAGCCACATTTCCAGCCTGGATTTTTGCTGGTTATTTTGTAGACAGTCTCACACTTATCTGTCCTGGCTAGCTTTGAACCAGAATGCTCCAGATCTCAGCCTCCTAAGCAGTAGGACCTCAAGCGTGAGCCACCTGTATCTGGCATTTAGCCCTTTCTATTTGCTTATTTCTCAGTCTTACCAAAAGCATGCATGCTGAAATCAGATACTTTGGTCATCTTAATCATCACTTAGCACTGTGCCTGGGATGCAGAAGGATTTACATTAATTAAACAAATTTATATTAATTAGCACTTTCAAGGATTGGAGCAGACCTGAAACAAGAGTTACAAAAATACATAATCTCTCATATTCACCCCTCTCTCTACAAGAACCTTTCCCTATAATATAACCCAAGCAGACATCCCAGGGAGTAAGCATTCTGTAGAATGCAATGTAGTAAATGATTATTCAGATAATTAAGGGCTGGGCGCCAGTGGCTCACACCGGCTACTCAGGAGGCTGAGATTTGAGGATCGCTGTTCAAAGCCAGCCTGGGAAGGAAAAGTCCATGAGACCCTTATCTCCAATAAACCAATCAGAAAACCAGAAGTGGTGCCGTGACTCAAGTGGTAGAGCACTAGCCTTGAGCTGAAGAGCTCAGGGACAGTGCCCAGGCCCAGAGTTCAAGCCCCATAACTGACAAGAAAGAAAGAAAGAAAGGAAGGAAGGAAGGAAGGAAGGAAGGGAGAAAGAAAGAGAGAGAGAAAGAAAGAGAGAGAGAGAGGGAGAGAGAGAGGGAGAGAGAAAAAGAAAGAGGGGGAGAGAGAGAAAGAAAGAGGGAGAGAGGAAGGAAGGAAGGAAGGAAGGAAGGAAGGAAGGAAGGAAGGAAGGAAGGGAGGGAGGGAGGGAGGGAAAGAAAAGAAAAGAAAAGAAAAAAAGCAAGGAAAAGAAAGAAAAATAAATTTAACGTCAGCAGGGAAATTCTGACCAAGGAATAGCTTCCATGCATGGAGGCCTCCAGGCAAAAAGAACACCATGTCTGAGGGCTGCTTAGCTGTTTTTTTCCCCCTCAGTGCTAGATCAAATATTCAAATTCTACAAATTTCTATAATATGAATTGAAAATAACTAGACAATCAATTGGGAGGCCTGTTTTACATTATATCCATTACTGCTACTTTAACACTATCACACCTGAGAAATTATACTTCTTGTGGGGGAAAAATGTTGTAACTACCTGTAAAATAGCTTTGGACTTTGCTAAGTACAATAATTGATAAACAGTATCAAGATTTGCAAGAAGCTTTGGGATGACTAGTTCTGGTGGTTTGTGGCAATGAATGAAAAGGGATTATTTTTTCAGCACACACTGGATGAAATCAAGCAATCAATTAGATCAGTGACATTTAGGTTTTATAGCTTAAGACTGATAATTAAAATAAAAACAATTATTATGCACTTTTCTACAGAAGTTTACCATGAGTCAAAAACTTTCTAGTTCCTAATTTTCTACTCTTTTAAAAAAAATATCTGCCATTAAAGCAAATGACTTGTAAGATGTCATGTGTTCAACTGGTAGAAGTCACTTAAATTTTTTGCACATAGTTTAGGAATGTACGCGTTTCTATAGTAGGCTAGGAGATGGTAACTATAGAGACATTCTGACTAAGCATCATTCTGTGTTGAAATCCAGTGAGAAGCATCAATCCTTCTGGGAATAGCTGCCAAGTCTAGGCCCTAATCTTGCAAAGCAGGGTGGTGGAACTTTTCCCAACTAATTTCAATGCAATATGATTCCCACCATCTAAGTTCAACAGCCATGTTCCCCCATGGTGGCCATTGTTACTCTAAAACAACCTAGCTGACTCCTTAACTAATACCTATCACCTTTCTCTCATGCTGAGTCTACTTCTCTTCTGGTAAGGCAGAGGCATCTGTTAGAAGAGAGAGTTTGCCTCCATTAAGTAACATGAGTTTTACATCTAACTCTGAACACACAAAAGGGGCCTAAAGTCTATTTTAGGGGCTGCTTATTACATGAGTATGTATTCGTATAGGCCAGAGTAGCTAATTGGCTTTGACAGCTGTCAATTCTGACTTATAAAAATATACATCTCTGACAGACACAGAAGGAGGCCTCCTGCACCCATTTCCAGGTTACGTTCATTCTACACTAACTACCTAGAGCTCTCGGCATCGAAGAAGTTTGACTGGAAACTATAAGTAAGTAGAAGCTATCATGTAGACAGGGTGGAAAAGGACACCTGAAAATCAGAAATACAGGTTGACAAGGAGCCCCACCTGGACTGCATTTCAGCTTGTGTTTTTGCCTGCTGATGTGGCGCTGGCTGGTGGGGCTGGCACGGGGCTTGGGGAGTGGCTGGCACCTGTTGCTGAATTGTGCCAGTCTGGCACTGAGAGGGCACCCCAGCCACCTGAGACCCAGCCGGCGGCAGAGGGGATGAGATGTTCTGCTTCGGGGGCTGTGGCTGCTGCTGCTGCTGCTTGTATCGAGAGAGGCTGAAGAAGAGGCCTAGAATGGCCTTGAGGTTTCCATTCCTGATTTCTGCAAGAAAATAAAGAGATTCTGGTCAGCCAAGCCTTTTCTTTTTCCTCCTATTCACTAGGCTGCCTCAGCCCTCACATGAGTTTAATTCCTTTAGGACATGACAGACTTCCTGAACACTTAATTGGTATCACAGTCAATTAAAATCAGACCTAAACCGCAAAGAAATTAGCTTATTCTCCCCACTGGGATTAGAGTGGATATACCAGGCAAGTTATGACTGGATAGCTGGCAAGTACCAAGAGGAAATTCTCAGTAAGGACACCACTGAAAAAGCAAGCGTCCCTAGCAAGACTCTGCTTGTCCTCAGGCAGGGCAGTTGGCCCTGGATAAGGTGCTCTTTGGCACTAGGGGAGACGCACAGGTCTTGTTAGCTCAGCCAAGTCCATGTTCTAAGCCTCAAGCTACACTGAGTGTGCCAAGTGGCTGCCATCCCATTCCAATCCCTTGCTCAGCTTTATCCAAGCATCATCCTTCAAATAGAGGTCTCCCTTATCCATTGAATAAAGAATTAAAATTTGGGATAGGTGTAAGGATGGATAGGCTGTAATAACTTGCTTCCAGAAAGACCTCATGCGAAACATCCCCTAAACTAAATTAGTATAGTGGGAAGAATTTTTTAAGTGCGAGACAGTACTTTTCAGATGTGGAAATGCCCTTGCCTCAAGGCATATATTAAGAGTTGTGGAGACAAATGAAATATTTATTTGAAAGCAGAAGTTATAGATCTCAAGGGGTTGCTTCTTAGGCAATTCCTCTTTTTATACAGCACTTTTAACACCAGATGCCATAACCAGAATCTGAACTGGCCCTGAGGGTGAACTACAGAGCCACTAAGCATGAGGAACAGAAGAGGATGATACCAGAGGGGAAACAATCAGTCCCATCTGCTCTGCTGCCACTTCAGGATGGATTTCTTCTTTTGAACTGGCAAAGAGGTTAATGGGACATGGGGCCAAGGAAGGTTCCAGAGACTTGCTTCAGGGAAGAGGCAGTTTCTCCTGGTGGGGAGTGCATACCTCTAGCTGAACCCCGCAACTAGCAAAGCCAGTTCAAGAAGAAAGGAGGACTTCCTCCTGAGTGAGGAAGGTATGAATAGAGTTCTTTCAGAATAAGCCCTCTTCTTTGCATCAGGACCATGGTACGATGTGATTTGCATATTAGACAGAAACACATTATTTCCTGCTGGGGCAGTCAACATCCACTTCTGGAATCTATCCTTCACTCCATACTTTGGTAACAAACAGAACAGTTTCTGATTGCTGAGTATATTGCTGATATATATTTAGAAAACCTAAACCATGCATTCTAATCTGTATTCTACCATTCTCTAGATGTATAACTTGGGGTAAATCACTTAATCTCTCTGGGCTTCAGGAAAATGGTAACACTAACAGTCTGCACTATAACACAAGGCTGTTTTACAGATCATATGGGAGCACATGTGTAAAAGTGCTCTGTAAACAGTCACATTCTTCACTGCACTTGGTTATTTCATGAAGACCACAGTTCCAGACTCCCAAATTAGATTGCTATATAGCTCAGTTTCATACCCTACAAATGATGGCTTTTATGGTGCAAACTTCTAATTTATCATGCAAGCCATGAGATCTTTAGAGTAAGAGATATTAGTGGTTTAAATTATGCCAGGATGACAAGAGTAAGCCTGAACTGACCCAGCCAAATAAGGGTACCCAGCTACTGCTTATGAACTACTCTATTCAATGCAGGGAATAGAGAAAGCCCCATGGAGGTGGGCATTCCCCTAGCTTCTTTAGGGAATTCAGTTCTAACTCTTAAGCTCCTTCTCCATCCCAAGGAAACCAAAGATGCAGCATATACATGTGGCCTTGTTTCCAAATGTCCATATTAATACATAAACCTTTCAGGTGTATGTGAGGCAGGGAGGGATGATTTAGCTGTCTACTTACTTTATTCATGGGAAAACTGAGGCAACAAGATGAAAGTAGGTGGACAGTGACAGGAGAAAGGGACAGAATCAAGATGAGCCAGTCAAAAGCTGACCTTGAGATTAGCACCTTTGAAGGAACTTGGGAAAACAGACAATTGTCTCTTAACCATGAATTGATTGGAGGACATATGGAGACATGGGGCTAGTCATGATTATACAAACAATCCATTTAAGATTTATTTACAGCCTTTTAGTTATCATAAAGTTTATAATAACAAGGGCTACTACTAATTAGTTTGTATCAGGCTATGGTTGTCACATGCATGGGCCCCTTCAATCCTAATCACCTGAGCAGTGAGTATTGCCATCTCTCTGTTACTTAAGAGCAAACAGGTTCAAAAAGGCTTTATCTCAATTCCAAGGTAATAAACTCTGAGGCAAGCTGGGATTTGAATCCAGTTTTTGTGCAGCATGAAGTTTGCTTTCCTAATGCTGGGTGACTTGGCTTACTAGTATATCCATCATATGTAGTGAATTAAAAAGCAGACCAGATAACTTTTTTTTTGTTGTTAAACCAGCTAGCTGGTGGGTGTATATTCTTTTTTCTTTTGGTGTGTCAAGCATTCTATAACACAGTTTTTTACAAACACACAAGAAAAAGAAGGAGGAGGAACTTACTTCAGCAAATCCAGAGTCTCATAGTTTGTTCACTGAAAATAGTAGGGATATGCAAGTCAGCATCTCCATAAAATACAAGCCAACTCCAGTGTAGACAGCCAGAGTCAGTCTTGTCACATCCTCTAGCTACTATAGTCATCAAATCACAAGAGTTTCTTCCTTTGTCCCCTAAAGCACTTTTAACTGTCAAAAGGCATAGTGTTCCTCCAACAAAAATACTTTTCCTTAGGAGGCAGCATTTTTACTATAAAGTTCATTGAGGTTTGGAGCTTGAGATTGAATCTCTACAGTCTATCATTTATAGGCTTTGAGTTTTATCAAGATTAAACCTCTTTGAGCTTCCTATGGGCCTTCTATGACAAGTAAAGACTAAATAAGGAAAATGAGTGCCAAGTATCTAAGACACTGATTCTGTGCATCCAACTTTGGCTCAGAAAATATGGTCTCTCTCTACCTGTAGCCTCCTTAGTTCCTGTTCAGAGCTTTGCACCCAAAGGAAGCTCAAGAAATAGGTCTATTCTTCACATTTTCCCTCTAGGCCACAGATACTAGGGTTCAGAAGAAAATCAGTCATGAGAGATCTATAAAAATTCAATGGTGACATAGTTTCTGGTTTTAAAAATAGCTTTATTGTATTATGATAAATGTATAATCTATAAAATTAAGTGTAAAATTCAAAGCTTCTTAGCAAATCTAATAAACTTTAATTTTAGAATAGTTCTATAACACCCAAAAGATTGCTCATGCTCAATTGTAATCAATTCACAAACTTACTCTCAAGGAACCAGTAATTTGCTTTCTGTTTCTATAGATTTTCCTTTTCTGGACTTTGTGTGTGTGTCAGTTATGGGACTTTACTAGGGGCCTGGACACTGTCCCTGAGCTCTTCTGCTTAAGGCTGGTGTTCTACCACTTTGAGTCACAGTGCCACTTCTGGTTTTCTTGTGGTTAATTGGAGATAAGAGTCTCTGCCCAGGCTAGCTTTGAGCCATGATCCTTAGATCTCACTCTTTTGAGTAGTTATTATAGGTGTGAACCACCAGCACCTGGCTTCTGGACATTTTATGTAAGTAGAACCATATAATCTGTACTCTTTTTAAATATATATTTTTATTGTAAAGATACTGTACAGAGGGATTCTGTAGTCTTTTATATCTTGCTTCTTTTACTTAATGTTTTAAAGATTTGACTTTGTTAAGAGCCCTCGTTTCTTTATTTAACTTTTTATTTTTTGTCAGTTGTGGGGCTTGAACTCAGGGCCTAGGTTCTGTCTCTAAGCCTCTTTGTGCTCAAAGCTAGCACTCTACCATTTGAGTCACAGCACTACCTCTAGTTTCTAGTGGTTAGTTGGAGATAAGAGTCTCACAGGGCTTTTCTGCTTGGGCTGGCTTCAAATCATGATCCTCAGATCTCAGCCTCTTGAGTAGCTAGGATTACAGGCACGAGCCACTGGCGCCCGGCTGAGCCCTCATTTCTTATATTGCCTTTATTGGCAAGTAGTAGCTCACTATATGGACATATTTTACCTAGCCATTTCCAAATTTATAACCATATGGACTGTTTAATTTTGCTTTCATATTACAAACTCAAAACTGGTGGATATCTGAAAGCCACATAACCTATACCATGGGTGGTCCATAACAGACAGTATTCAAAATAGCTAGACTTTGTGTTCTTCCCACATTCCCAACTGGTATTTGTCTATGTGCCAATGAGGCCTGAAGAGCCAGCTCCACAGAGGAAGTCTAAAAACAAAATCCCACAAGAATGTTTCCCCCGTGGAAACATTTTCTAAGGCTTTAGAAACAGGGAGTCATTTGCATCCGATCAACTAGCCTCACCTTCTTAACTTCTACATAAAGGGAGGAAAGCACACCTAGAGAAAGAACTGACTGGTCCAAGGACACTAGCTAACAAAACAATGGAACCCTGCTCTTGGGGCTGCCCTCATGTAAACTGAAGTGTAAATTGCCCAGGCTATATTCCAGCTGCATTAGATATTAGAAGGCAGTATTACCTGAATGCAGAAGTTCATTTCTGACTGATTTCTTTTTTTTTTTTTTTTGGTCGGCCGTGGGGCTTGAACTCTGGGCCTGGGCGCTGTCCTTCAGCTCTTTAGCTCAAGGCAAGTGCTCTACCACTTGAGCTACAGTGCCACTTCTGGTTTTCTGGTGGTTTATTGGAGATAGGAGTCTCATGTTCTCTCCTGCCCGGGCTGGCTTTGAATGGCGATCCTCAGATCTCAGCCTCCTGAGTAGCTAGGATTACAGGCGTGAGCCACCAGCGCCCGGCTTCTGACTGATTTCTTTGTCCCCATTGGCTGCTAATAATCTTCATAATGCAATAGGTAAATCATGGCATGACTGATATGTAAAATAAGAGTTATTTTAGTTGAACATTTCTAAAAGAG